TTATAGTTACATTATAAGTTATTTAATTAAATAAGAGACATAACTGTTTATATAAATTTAGTATTTATAATCTATCTATATTTTTAAATCTTATGTAAATAAATAATTGTTTTGGTACAAATTATCAAGGACCAAGTATTAAAATAAATAAGGATTAAGGGAAAGTGAATAAGAAAATATAAATTAGGATAGATGTAATTTATTTTTATTAAAAAATGAAGTGAAATTTTAAGAGATAAATCTATTTTTATACAGCATTTATTTGTTTAAACATAAGCATTAAAGCTGTTTTAATGTATTCTAAGTACCTAGTAAGAATTTACGAACCGTGAATTTCCTCATTATTATCGGCCACACAGAAACTATGCGTATAAAGTTTAATTAAGATAAAAATAAATAAAATAAATCCATAAAATTTCTCCAAAAACATTGGATATACGAACAAATTCAACAATAATTAGATTCAGTTTATTGGTAATGCACAAATAATTATAATGTCCGAGCGAATAAAAAGTGATATTTTAACTGAATCGTAGCAACTACCTGGAATTGTTTTTTAAAAAAATCATTTAAAAATCATTATTGTTTCTTTCATTGACCTGTTTAAATTTTGGAAAGTGGACTTCAAACTGTCATAACCGTTGGTTAACGACAGTATGCTGTGATAGATATCGAGGTCAAGCTCCAGGTTATATGGAGCTTTATATATATATATATAAGCTGACTTGTAAACAACTTAGATAAGAAATCCTCCAAAATTTAATATGGTTCACTCCAAACATGTAAGTACTCAGTTTTACTTCGTAGTTTAGCTTAAGGAGAAATCAGTCACGCGAGAATTATAGGATATTTTAATTTGCCATCGCGTAAAATGACTCTTAAGATTGAAATTTAATGATTTAATTTACAGATAATCGAAGAACGCAAAATCCCAAAATATTTAGAAGTCGATGGCTATCGTATTCCAGCTATATTTTCGGTTAATGCATTTAGATCCGCTGTACATTATAGTCCAAAAGAAAGCGATGTATTCGTATGCACGTTTCCGAAATGCGGAACAACGTGGCTCCAACACATCGTAGCCCTCATATATCGTAAAGGAGAGCCGTATAATGGAATACTCGATTTTTTTACTTCCAGCCCTTTTCTGGAAATGTGCGGTTCCGAAGCGGCTGAATCACCAGAAAGATCATTAGGAGCAATTAAGATTCATCTTCCTTATCATCTAGCACCAATATCACCAATAGCCAAATACATATATGTGGCTAGAAATCCCAGAGATTGCTGCGTTTCCTTTTATCATCACGTTAAATCATTGCCCATTTATGAGTTTCAAGAAGGGACATTCGAAGATTTCTTAGAACTATTTATTAATGGTCAAACGAATTTCGGTGATTATTTCGATAATTTACTCTCCTGGTATTCTCATAGAAACGATAACAATGTTTTATTCTTAACATACGAAAATCTTAAGAGAAATTTACCTGATCAAGTGATGAAGATCGCTGAATTTCTCGGTGAAGAATATTATAAAAACTTGAAGAGTGATGAAATACTTTTTCAGACGATCCTCCAACGATCCAGCTTCGAGTACATGAAGAAACACTGCAGTTGTTACTATGATAACTTCGTCGAAGCATTCGAAAAAGCATACGATGACGGAGAAGACTTGCCAAATGGCATTAAAGAATTAGTCATAAACTTTAAATTATCGAAAAATCCAACAAACGAGAAAGCTAAAGATTGGAATTTCATTCGCAAGGGTATAATCGGCGACTGGAAAAATCATTTTAATCAGGAACAACAAAGTAAAATGGACGAATGGATACGAAACAAGACTATAGATACTGATGTTATGAATTTGTGGGATGGGTTTTAGCTAGGAGCGCCCGTACATTAAGACATGTGGGGCACGTGCCCTCTTTTCATCTGAGTTGCCCTTTTCCTAATCCCAATGAGGGCTTCAAATAATAGAAAATTCATGACGTCTAGCAAGCCCATTCTGCAAATATAAAATAAACTAATGAACGATATTCGTCCATTGTCCACGCAACTTCGTGTGTTAACCAAAACTATATTCCTTGTTTTCAAGGCCAAGTTTGCCCCCGAGTGCCACCAGAGTCATCTTGTGGGAGCGCTGATCCGACGTTGAATCATGGAGTTTGAAGCTCTTTTCATAATTCACCCAGATTATCTTCACGTGTTAACACCTAAATAAGAGCCTGTTCTTCACACCAGCACCTAAATAAAAGCCCGTTTCTCACATTCCTCACACTAGCACCTAAATAGGCCAGTTACCCTTATAAAGTTACCTCCCTAGACAGATCTCCCATGTGTTGCGTTGCCTTATTCAATTAATTAATTCTAAACTCTAAAATAAATAGCTCTAAAACTTACTTAACTACAAACCATTTTATTCCTGACTAAATTAATAAAGTTTACTGCTGCTCCACGCTAAATTTATAAGCAAATATAAACCAAAATAGAATATTAAAAATACAAAATTAAAAAAGAAGGGTGAAAAAAAACACTATAAAATGCGACCATACATATATTTATATTAAGTAGTGCAATGTGTTTAATTTAAAAAAAAAACAAAGAAAATATTATAGTATTTTCCATTTTATTTCATATTTACTTTATACTCACATCTCGTGAAAGCAGCAAGATAAAACGTCACGCGAGTGAGATACGAACCAGTGACAAATAATTCGATCGACCCGTCGCTGTTTGAATTAAACATATTCCGAATTCTGTTTTCGGGAAAGATATAATTACGAAGATTCCAATCATTCTACAAAAAGTACTTATTATATTATCACAAAAGATAAAAATAATCACGAATCTCCGTAAGGTTACGATAAGGTTAATTCAAAAAGTTTTCGATGATACCACCAAAGAATTTGATTAATAATAATTTAGGACAAGGTCTTAATTTATCACTTTATGAGATAAAATTATAGTTACATTATAAGTTATTTAATTAAATAAGAGACATAACTGTTTATATAAATTTAGTATTTATAATCTATCTATTTTTTATTAAATCTTATGTAAATAAATAATTGTTTTGGTTCAAATTATCAAGGACCAAGTATTAAAATAAATAAGGATTAAGGGAAAGTGAATAAGAAAATATAAATTAGGATAGATGTAATTTATTTTTATTAAAAAATGAAGTGAAATTTTAAGAGATAAATCTATTTTTATACAGCATTTATTTGTTTAAATATAAGCATTAAAGCTGTTTTAATGTATTCTAAGTACCTAGTAAGAATTTACGAACCGTGAATTTCCTCATTATTATCGGCCACACAGAAACTATGCGTATAAAGTTTAATTAAGATAAAAATAAATAAAATAAATCCATAAAATTTCTCCAAAAACATTGGATATACGAACAAATTCAACAATAATTAGATTCAGTTTATTGGTAATGCACAAATAATTATAATGTCCGAGCGAATAAAAAGTGATATTTTAACTGAATCGTAGCAACTACCTGGAATTGTTTTTTAAAAAAATCATTTAAAAATCATTATTGTTTCTTTCATTGACCTGTTTAAATTTTGGAAAGTGGACTTCAAACTGTCATAACCGTTGGTTAACGACAGTATGCTGTGATAGATATCGAGGTCAAGCTCCAGGTTATATGGAGCTTTATATATATATATATAAGCTGACTTGTAAACAACTTAGATAAGAAATCCTCCAAAATTTAATATGGTTCACTCCAAACATGTAAGTACTCAGTTTTACTTCGTAGTTTAGCTTAAGGAGAAATCAGTCACGCGAGAATTATAGGATATTTTAATTTGCCATCGCGTAAAATGACTCTTAAGATTGAAATTTAATGATTTAATTTACAGATAATCGAAGAACGCAAAATCCCAAAATATTTAGAAGTCGATGGCTATCGTATTCCAGCTATATTTTCGGTTAATGCATTTAGATCCGCTGTACATTATAGTCCAAAAGAAAGCGATGTATTCGTATGCACGTTTCCGAAATGCGGAACAACGTGGCTCCAACACATCGTAGCCCTCATATATCGTAAAGGAGAGCCGTATAATGGAATACTCGATTTTTTTACTTCCAGCCCTTTTCTGGAAATGTGCGGTTCCGAAGCGGCTGAATCACCAGAAAGATCATTAGGAGCAATTAAGATTCATCTTCCTTATCATCTAGCACCAATATCACCAATAGCCAAATACATATATGTGGCTAGAAATCCGAGAGATTGTTGCGTTTCCTTTTATCATCACGTTAAATCATTGCCCATTTATGAGTTTCAAGAAGGGACATTCGAAGATTTCTTAGAACTATTTATTAATGGTCAAACGAATTTCGGTGATTATTTCGATAATTTACTCTCCTGGTATTCTCATAGAAACGATAACAATGTTTTATTCTTAACGTACGAAAATCTTAAGAGAAATTTACCTGATCAAGTGATGAAGATCGCTGAATTTGTCGGAGAGGAATATTATAAAAACTTGAAGAGTGATGAAATACTTTTTCAGACGATCCTCCAACGATCCAGCTTCGAGTACATGAAGAAACACTGCAGTTGTTACTATGATAACTTCGTCGAAGCATTCGAAAAAGCATACGATGACGGAGAAGACTTGCCAAATGGCATTAAAGAATTAGTCATAAACTTTAAATTATCGAAAAATCCAACAAACGAGAAAGCTAAAGATTGGAATTTCATTCGCAAGGGTATAATCGGCGACTGGAAAAATCATTTTAATCAGGAACAACAAAGTAAAATGGACGAATGGATACGAAAAAAGACTATAGATACTGATGTTATGAATTTGTGGGATGGGTTTTAGCTAGGAGCGCCCGTACATTAAGACATGTGGGGCACGTGCCCCCTTTTCATCTGAGTTGCCCTTTTCCTAATCCCAATGAGGGCTTCAAATAATAGAAAATTCATGACGTCTAGCAAGCCCATTCTGCAAATATAAAATAAACTAATGAACGATATTCGTCCATTGTCCACGCAACTTCGTGTGTTAACCAAAACTATATTCCTTGTTTTCAAGGCCAAGTTTGCCCCCGAGTGCCACCAGAGTCATCTTGTGGGAGCGCTGATCCGACGTTGAATCATGGAGTTTGAAGCTCTTTTCATAATTCACGATGCCCATTTTATAGCTTGTTCTCTCTCTCTCTTCTTGATAGTCTGAGGGCACCGCTGGTCATTTAAGAAGAAAAAATAATAATCATTTTTATATTAGGTCACATCAGATTTAATCGCATTGGATCGATTAAAGTTTACCGAACGTGATTGGAATTATCAGTAAAGGTCACTAGTCTTCTGCAAGTAGAATTGACAGTTTGGGTCAGTGATCGTTAGTTACTTGATGAAAAACTGCCATTTGAAAGTATAATGATCGTACCTAATAGCATTTTAGTAATTACGGTTACACGTAACAAATTTCTCATTTATTCAATGATGGATCTACGTGGGTTAAGAACACCAGTTCAGGGTGAGAGATGGATATATATATATACAGATTGTAATATAGGATATAATAATTATCCTAGGCTCGTATCTTTAAGAATTTCTAACTTCGTATAGTATCATTATGATCCCATTTGAACTTAAGAGGAAAAAAATAATAATAATAATATTCAAAATTGACCACGTGATCAATTTGGTTATCGATATTGAAGAAGCACTCAGGTGTTTCCCGCTAGGGGCAGTATAATAATGAATAACTGTCACCATGGTAACTAATGGTGTAGTTCCGTATGTATTACACGTGATTCAGTCGACAGAATTTGTTGATGAGTCGGGATTGTTACCTCTTGTGATTGCTTTGATTGCCTCATTGCATATTTTTAGATAACGAAGAGGGGGGGAAAATATGGGAAAAAATTCTCTTAAATTTTTATGAGTAAAGAGAAATGAATAAATTTCGTGAGGAAGAATGAAGAATAAGGCAGAAAATTCTGTTATCCAAGATACAGGTAGATTAAGTGAATATCTACAGGTAATTCTAATTANGTTAAAACGTCGAGAAATGCAAAAGGGGTGGTCAAAATTTAAACGATCACCATACTTTCTTTGTGTTATATTCTACATTACCGAGTAAATAATAAGTATCTCTGGAGGTAGATTTTTCTTTTCTAGCCATGTTTTGTCATTTTCAAAAATTACATCAATGTTATTCTTGCTGCTTTCCTTCATATAATCGAAGCTGCTGTAATGAATAATATTTTCTAATATTGTTGGATCATTCGAAATACTTTTTTCGTATTCTTCTCCCATAAATTTGGCTATTTTCAATATTTCTCCCTTAATATCTTTCTTGAGATCTTCGTATGTTACAAATTGAACGTTGCTGTCATTTTTATGTTCGTACCATCCAAGAAGGTGATCGAAATAATCGCCGTACGGTAAATTACCTTGAAGAAATGCTTCAAGAAATTCTTGAAAACTTAATTCGGGATATGGAAGTAATTTCATAAAATGATAAAATGAAACGCAGCAATCTCTAGGGTTTCTAATTATATAAATATATTTAGAATGTGGAGAAAAGGGAATAGAAGAAAATGGTAAGTGTGTCTTCATGATTTTCGGCTTTGCCATTTCTATGTATTCTCCTCCAATAATTTCTAAATGTGGACAACCTATTAAGAAATTCAAAGGATCTTCCGATATTTTACCTTTTCCGTGTATTAACTTGACTATATAATGCATCCAAGTTGTACCACATTTTGGATAACTAACAATAAATAAATCTCCAGGTTTCGCTTTATAATTCATTCCAGATAAAATTGCTTCGTAAGAGAACATCGATAACGTGCGTATTCCACCCACTTCCTTACATTTTATCTTCTCCATTACTATGAATTTATTATTTTATATTATATTAAGTATAAATTAAATTTGAATAATTATTTATTACGTTTAACTTGAAGTATTCTACTTACTGCTTTTTCACACGCTAATTGTATGCAATATTCACAAGAAGAAAACTTAACTGAGTGTTAAGCATTAGAAACAAACGTCGTTAAGAAAGTTTAAAAATAAATGTAAGATTAGATATTATTTATGTTCATCATTGGTCGCAAACTAGAAGTATAGAATTGATAAACGAATTTTGATTAAGTAGAACATTTTTTTCACAGTTCCGTGCGAGGAAACACGCCGACTAGAACAAAAGATCAATAGATTTTTTAGAAAACAAAATATTTTAAATCGAAACAAAGGTTCCGATAAAATATCTGAAAAGAACAGGCCCACCAGTGGCCAAGTGGTTACGTTCCCTAAACACTGGGAGTTCGGTCATGGATTCGTGCCTCGCCAGAACGGGCTGGCCACGTGGAGTTTTCCGGGTTTTCTTCACGTCTGTAGCACCTAAATAGGAGCCAGTTACCCTTAAACAAGACCTCCCGGAAGGCGTCGCCCAAGTGTCGCGTTGCCATAACTTAATAAAACAAACAAGCCTATTCTCTATAGGAACCAAAGTTTCATTACACAGGCCAGACGCAAAATCAAAGAGCAATGATCGGAATCCAAAAATTGAACAGCTTTCTATATTAACGGAGAAACTATGACTGAATCAATAACAGAACAACCACGATTAGAAATAAAAGAATATTCACCTGCTTCATCACCTAAACATCTCCCATTAGTAATAATCACATTTAATTCTGTACATAAGTAATTCATTTTCCTACTACATGAATCAATAACTGAATCCCCTACCCTCAAAATCAAGTTTTTTTTTGCCAAATTATAATAATTAAAAATATAAAAAGATTTTAAATAAAATATCATAACAGATGGCATCTCAAAATTTTAAATGCCGTCGGGAAAGTTAAGCAACTCGTTGCTGGATTTTTTTAATGCATTAGGTAGTCATTTTGCTAATCCTACATCTTTTATTTATGGCAGGTTGCATTCCGTGATCGTAACTAAACAGGTGTCCAGAATTCTGTGAAAAAACAGTCAAATCTCAACCAAATTTGGTAAGCATAATGGCATATTTATACGCTTGTAAAACGTTTACATTCGATTCTTAAGATCAATCACACGTCAATATTCGAAATATCCTGTAAAGTGTGACGTAATTGTCATGTAATAGTAGTTGTATCTTTTATGATGGTCGTTGCGCGGGAAGTAATGTCTTTCGGAAGGTCTTTTAAGGGTAACTGGCCCCTATTCAGGCTTTACAGACGTGGAGAAAACCCGGAAAAGTCCGGGCGAGGCTCGAACCCACGACCGACGAACTCCCAGTGGAACCGCTTGGCTACTGGTGGGCCAGGTTTTATTTTAGTAAGCATTGACAACGTCGCCATCTGGAGCCACTTATCGAAACCATAAGACTTAATCCTTGTTTATTGGATGAACAGTAAGTACGATTAAAGTGATATTCCTTCCGATTTTAGTTTGATTTCTGACACAAAATAATAGACACGTACTGTACACTTAACACAAAATTATAATCTATAATATATTCATTACGAGTTTTCATTTTTTATTTATATACACAAATTATTTTGTTTATGGAAGTATAAACAAAGAGAAACTGAAGTTATTGGTCGTTCTATATATAGCATTATACATTTGTTTCGTTGGTATTTGTGCGTGCAAAATGAATAAAGTAATAGGAAAAAACAGTTATCGAGAGCACTTGATCAATTTTCCAGGTACTCAAACAAGGAAGTACCAGAAATTTTTAATTATAATAAATTATTATATAAAATTTAAATAATAACGAAAGCTTAAAGGTAGTAATTTTATCGAATTATGACAAATTTTTCTATTTTTCAACAATAAATATTTAAATTTAAAGAGTTGTCTGCAGAATTTATTTTAAAAAATAAAAACCTCATTTTGAGGGCAGGAGTGAGTCTTTAATGAAATTGTAATTGCTAATAACTAGTAATACTTTCGTTTAAGTCTGACCAAGCTGGAAATATGACGCATGGCCCCTCTATCAATCCACTCGATCTTTTAATTAATCACCAAACAATTTAGTCGATCAATGCCCCATATATGGAAACAATTCGGTCAAGTTTATGAATATTTGGTTCATCCAGTCCTGGTTTATAATGTAAGATAAATAACGACACACATTCTTACACATATACACAGACCTACCTCTACATACAAACACATAGAATTTTGTTTGGGTGTCTTTCTACATTTTTGGACTCTAGTAGTGTTAAAACGTCGAGAAATGCAAAAGGGGTGGTCAAAATTTAAACGATCACCATACTTTCTTTGTGTTATATTCTACATTACCGAGTAAATAATAAGTGATTATTGGGCGGCAATTTGAAAAAAAAATTGTAGACGTATAAATCCTCACTGACTGTCTGTCTGTCTTCTTTAATATTTTAAATAAATTGAAGAATAAATTATTAAAATTGTAGCAGAATTAAATATTGACATTGTATAATAAAATGTAGATTATTTATATAGTCTTAAATAATGATTTAGAATTAATTTATTTTTGTATATAAACTAAATCGATTTAGGTCTATAAAAAAACATTTGTGATTTATGATTAATGAACTTGTCATCATCTTAATAATTTTTTAAAGTCTAGGTCATGTTAGCGTATCTTTTGAGATAAAAAACAAACTGATGAGTTTGCTCTAAGAAATATAAACTGTTATTTTTATATGTTTACCTTCATAACCTAACTTATTTTGATCATTTTTGGTCTTAAGACACCTTAAAACGTCGAGAAATGCAAAAAGAATCGGTGGGTTCTTTATGTATGGATGTTAGTGTGTGTGTGCGGGAGACACGATTTTGTTCACCCCGTTTGAAGCTTAATAACTCCTGTGCTTTTTGTCGAAAATTTCTGAAATTTTGCAGGAAGGTTTGTGTATTAGGACCATTGATGTTATTAAATTTTTGTAGTTAAAGGTCGAAGGGGAGGAGAGATAAAGGGGATCGTGTGTCGTAAATAAAAAGATAGGGAGAATGTTTCTGTCTAAGTCCTTCAATTAAAGTTCTATTTATCTAATAATATTGTGGTATATTCTAAAGAATGCGTTATTGTTTCAGCAAGAAATGTTTCTAAGTTTAGATTTTTACATCTCAGATAAAAAATAAAGTGTTGAAAAAATTTACATAAACGTTTAAGTATATAAAAGGCAAACGTGTTACGGCATTACAACAATTGTATTTTTTAATTAAAAAGCTTAAACTTCAAAATCAATTTATTTATTTACTTACAAATTTTAAGCTATAGCTTAGGGCCTCGTTCTATTCTCAAACACAGTTGATAAACACGTTGAAGGGCCTGTTGTGTGTTGTAGAGTAGGGCCACAACTAGTCTAAATTCGGCTTTGATTTTAAAAAACAAGCAAGCAGTTTAAATATGCATTATACTCAACATTTTTCATCTATTATACATTATGAATGAGGTAAAAAACAATTCGATAAATTTAAATCTTGAGAAAAATCACGCCATTTTGTATTTAGGATGTTAAATGTTGTATATGTAAATTAACTTTTATAAAATACACTAAATCTGATTTTAATATTATATAATGTTGAGTGATAACTTTAATTTTTTGTCTATTTGAAAATTTACAAGTTAAATTAATCTAAAATTTGAAAATTTAAGTATAGATTTTTATTGATTGACTTATCAATAAATAAATACCTACATTTATTATTCAATATTCTGTACAGAGGTATATAATTTGATAGTAATCTTAAGAAAGGAAGAAGGAGAAGTGTATGATTGGATTGGTGAAATAAGGCAAAGTACTTTGTGAAAATTAGGGATGACATTTCGTGAAGAAATCTGAAAAAGTCCACGTGGTAGCCCGTCGACCAACTACTGTAATTGTTCAATCGACAATTGTATATAATCCAATAGGAAATGAGCACCTCACTCTGTACACGCAAATTCATGTATTTTAANTATTTTATAAAACCCGTCCCTATCCTCAAAATTAAGCCTTTTGCCATTTTATAATAGTTAAGAATATAAAAAGTTTTTATAATAAAACATGATAAGAGATGGCGCAACCAAATATTACCGGAAAACTTAAGCAACTCGTTGCTGTTTTATTTATTTATTTATGAACATATTTGATTTATAACAATGCTCCTTCAGCAAATACAATTAAAATGATGAAAAAAAAGAAATTTTAAAGAAATAAAATTATACTTTACATATTTACAAATATTTAAAACTCAAAAAAAAAAATTACTTTCTTACAATTTATATATTGTAAAAATTAAAATATCGATGTCGAAACGACCGAAATTATCAAAAAAATTCTATTATTTTTCAAGAGAAAATCAATAGAAACTATTGCAACAATATATCAACTTCATTATAAACCTAACAATCATTTTTATTATATTGAAGTAAACAAAAGTAATAACAAATATATAAATTTATATTTCCTTTTATCATTTATACTCATTATATTACGATAATCGTACAGTTTAAGGAGAAGGGGATAGCTAAAAGTACCCCCTTCCCCTTAAACTTGACACCCCCCCCCTTCATCGTACACGAAGGGAGGGTACGAGGCATACTCTACGTGGAATATTTTAGTGGTATTGGTGGCATATTAATTAGAACTATGAGGTAGAAAATATATACAGAAGCCATCTCTTCAACTTTTGGTGGGTCCAGAACTTTTGTATACGTAATTAAAGGGGAGGGAGGTTTATCAAAGGTACGTCATTGGTGTCAAAAGTATCTCAATAAGAATACACGTGGACGAGACATTACTCTATAATTCTAGCAAAATGTAAAAGTTATTGTTATTAAAACTATTTGTAGTCTTAATTACAAATGATTTCTCATTATTCTTATTACATTTTACAAGTAAATAGTTTCAGTACAGATCAATACAAAGTTTATCTGTACGTAAAAAAAAAAAAAAAAATTCAACGCTTTACAAATAACATTTGCACGAAAATCAAAGAAAAATTTGTTGTTAGAATAGATAATTAGATAATGTTATTGATTATAATATAAATATACATTAGAATATTTAACCAGGGGAAAAAAACGATTTGAATTTCTAAAATGGACATTTTTCCCCCCTACTTCATTTGGATAATTGCGGAAATGTTTCAATGCGGAATTTACTCGTTCCACTTGAATAACACTTTTTTTAATATTATTATTATTATTACAAAATTACAAAATTTACATATATAGCTCCATCTAGTGAGAAAATAATGGAAAATTTTTATTAAGAAAATCGATCGTATAATCAATTATCGATCAGTCTAAGAGATTCAGTTTACTCTCGTTTTGAATTATAAATGATCTGGAAAATATAATAAAATTGGATAGTCTCCTATAGATATAGATAATGCATCAAATAAGATAGAAAATGATTTTTTTTTGAAGTTATATAATCGTTTTTTCCCCCTTGTTGAATAATTTTGCGGTTATTTCTTTACTTAAAATATTAATATTTAAAAAAATAATAAGGGTGTTTAATAAATTTAATGAATTTTAATCGATTAATTAATTATACGGTGGAAATTGCATATTTTAAGAAGAATGAACTAAATTCAGCTGAAAAAGAAGTAATTTAGTTTAATATACACTGCCTGAGTTAATTTTAATGTATTTCTAGAGTAATTTATTGACTTTTAGATGAGATTTAATGTGATTTTTCTTACAAAAAATAAATTAATAAATATTTATTTAAAACATTTTACGCTAAACAAGATAAGAAGTATGCTATAAAGCTGTAAGTACACGTGTAAATACCTATGTAAATACTCGTACGTGTAAAGTTTATACACGTTTAAACTATTGTATTGGAGATTTTTAATGAATATATTGATTTGTTTTTGTTGAATCGAGCGAGACTTAATACAAATCTATAAAAAGAAAAATGATGTAGATTTCCATTAAAATAAACCTATTAATCATATATATATGTGTAGTAAACAATGAGACACAAAGGCATTTTTTACTAAGCAACACGCTATGTTAAACAAAGATATGGTCAACAAACAAAATATATATAGATTTTTATGTATTTTTAAACAAGAAATTCGTATATCTATTGATTATTTTTATATAGTTGTACCACTTTCATTAATACCTTTTATCTCATAAATATTTAAGCATACTTTATGCTATCGATTGGTCAAGGGTTATTGACATCACTAAGAATCAAAATAACAACAAATCAGACTACTGTTTTAACGTCTGTGCACTTAACAACACGAGAGATGCAGTCACGTGTTAAACTTTGTCTTTTTACATTTGTTTGTTTTTTAAATAATTATTGAGTTTTGATACTTTATAAAGATATCGATTTTATAGCATTTAACTACCATACATTCAAAAGTATGGATTTTGTTATATTATCCATAACATTTGTATAGGATCTACAGTATTTGAGATCTGTCTACTTATATAGAATAATCTACGACTATTTGTTCTTTGTTATTACTTAATGGGGTTTTTCACGAATTACTGTAGCAATTAATTACATTTAAATGTATTTGGTGTAGGTCAAATACAAAAGTATTCATTAAGCTACTGTATAAATGAATGGGATTGATGGGTTAAGACAACGCAACACATGGCGATCAGCCGAGAGGAAGGGACAACTTTCTATAATAAACATGCTCCTATTTACTGTATATGTTAAACCCGTAATCTATGAGAAAGTGGCTTCTATTTAGATATTAGACACACGTGAAGAAAACCCGGAAAACTCCATAGGCCATCCCATTGGTCAGGACCGAACCTACGATCAATGTTCCGTCGTGTTATCCATTAGGTCAGCTACTATACAAACACAGACGATAGATTGTTAAACAATTGCATAATATAATAATAAATAAGTTGAATTTCTGACACGACAGTTTGTACGATTTGCAAACGCTACAGGCTTATATTTCTTTTTTTTTTACCATGGGGCGATCTCCATTGTAATTTACGTTAACCAGCAACTCCATTAACCTGTCAGTTACATTCAAATGTATCATTAGACCAATCCGAAATTATTTTCACGAAAAGATTAAAAACGAAAAAAAAAATTTAGTGACGTATGTTAAGTATTTCAAGTATAATTTGATTAATAACACGAACCAATCGTCCTAATGATGAATGCGTTGTCACGCTAGTAGAAAACAGATCATTGATAATTGAAAAAGTTTTCGAAACTTTCATTCTGTCGTTAAAGTGATTATTTGTGTTAATAAAACTATTTTCATGACATTTTGGTGTATAGTTGGACGGATTAGTAAGTTGTCTCCTTTCCAAGAAAGGGAACAGTTTCTTTCCCAAGTTGATCAATTGACACGCACATGACTCATTGAGATCACTTTAGAATTTGTCTGCTTGCGATATTTCTGTCCAACGTTCTGTCTTGTTTGCAGATGTCGAAACTTTAAAAAGTTTGAACGTATTAATCATCTTGTTTCGTCGATTTTTAGATCAATATCAACGTAATAATGAACCTTATTAATGAATTTTTCCATATCTTCGTAGTAGATGCTCGTAAAAATCGTCAAAGAAGACGTTTATGCTTCGTTTTTTAACGATTTTCTCAAGTATATCTAAGTTTTGTATGTAAAATCTTGTCTTTTTTATAATATACGTGAATATTATTTTCATTTTATTAATCAAAAATGCTTAAATAAGTAATAATGATATACAGAAAAAAGGTTCCTTGGGGATGAAATATTTAAAAAACAATTTAATTACAATAACTTTTTTAAAAAAATATCCGAAACTTCATTTACAATATTAAAAGAACTTCTGTTTTCTAGGACAGAACATTAACACTTAATTTTCTTTGTTATATTTTTTATAGAATAGAAAATATGTTTTCTATTCTATTCCATGTATTCTAGAATAAATTATACAATACATACGGTTATTATACAATAATTAGAGGGATTACGCATTAAAATATAATCGAGATAGTTCATTATCACTATAATTCAAATAAAGGATATTCCTTAATCGATATTATGGTATTTGAATGTAATTTTCGATTTTTAGGTTATTAGTTCACAATAAAACCTTATGCCCTACTGTATATAAATATCGATACATCTGTGTGGTCTGAATATGTGACCATACACTAGCAGACTGTATGCCATACAACCCCTTCGAATGTCAATGGGGAATACAGATTAAGAAGAGTTTTAAATGGAGAATTCACGAACAATTCTCGTCTAATACCTATTCTCTTATAAATTATGTATATCTTGATAGATCACCCCGTATAATTTCTGCTCTATCGGTCTGAGGTAGTGGCAAAGAAAGGTAGTATTCGAGCAAGGCTAAAGGGGTAACCAATGATATAGAATAAATGTTGTCTCGTTCTTTAAAAACTTATGGATAAAATAAAATGAAAATATGTGGCAAAAAGGTCGCCGTGGAGTTGCTAATAGGAAACATGAAACTAAGAAACATGATGGTAAAGGGAAATCAGCAAATCTTCGCGTTCAGGATGTAGTTAATCGTATAACTGAAGAAAATTACTCTGAAGAAAAATCTCCCGAATTAGATAAGAGAAAAGAATCAGTAAGTTTTTTTAAATTAAATTTTCATACAATGAAGTGTTCTGTCCTTAAATTTGGTATTGAGGGAAGAACATTTCTCATAAAGTGCGATGCAATGAAGAACGTAGCTTAGAAGAACATAGTGTTAGCAATTAACATTATAAGAACGTAGTGTTTTGTCCTTCAATTTATTGATTCTTCGTATTGAGCGAAGAAGATTTCTCATAAAGTTCTATATAATGAAGAACATAGTTTAATCTCTCGCAATTTAACCTTCGATTTGTATTAAAAATTATACATAATTACTTAAGCTAACTTAATATTAACACCACAGTCTAATTAGACATTAAACTGAAAAATATATTCATTTAATGTTATTTTACACATTTAAACCGACGCCAAGTGAAATAATTGATAGTAAATTAAACATTTTATAACCATTTTACTTTAAATTTTTTAAATTTAGTATTATTTTAAAGAGAAAATTAAGCTATTCTACAATTCAAATTCTAATCGATCGACATACAGACTACTGAATATCTTGAAATTAAGAACAATGAAATCAGCAAATGGACGAAATTTATAGATAGATGAAGTCAGTGACATTATACTTATGTTCATTGAATGATCTTAATTCCTTTACTGATTATTTAATGTATGACCTTGCCATAAGTTAAAGACTGTTATTACTATTATAAACCTATACTGTAACGTTCTATGTAAGTTATATATAACTTAGTCAATAGTATAACAGTCTGCAATAAAAATTTTATTTTACTTCTATTAATAGATTTTAATAATAATTCAAATTAATTTGAGAATTTTTACGTATAAAATATCAATTCGTGAGGAATTTCACCAAAGTTTCATTATCAAATTCGATAACCTAGAATTATATTTCTAAGTCTAAATTGGAAAGTCATGCAGGAACTATGTACCGTTTGATCCATTAACATGATAAGTTCATACTACTTTTAACTTATTATCCCCTACGTAGTAAATTTGTTGGACTAACACATTAATATTCATAGTCCTGTACATTATATTTAAATAAAAATGAAGGTGATATCTTTCCTATTTGTTCAATAAAGAAACTACTATTAAAATAACGTAAATATTTATATTAAAACTTAAAAAATTTAATAATTTATTCCATGATTCATTAGTTATCTACGTTTAATCGACATTTTCATCCCAATTTTAGCAACTTCGTGATGATCTTCAATTGGATACAATCCCACTTAAAAAGGAAGGAGAGAAATGGGAAGCAACGTATTTACAGGTAATTTATTATTATTGTTGTAATTATTCATTTTAACTTTATAAAGAATTACTGATTTAAATTATATTCAATTTCTTTTGCAGGTAGAATTCGAAGATATCATTGCCGAGCCAGAAGGAACACATTCTCCAGAATGCGTTTGGAAAAATGCACAAAAAGTATATTCGGCGACAAAGAACAGCTGTTATTCTTGCCTCAGTGTTTGTTGTGCATTACCCATATCATTCTTTGTAGCTATAAGTTTCGCTTGCGTCACTTTTCAACACGTTTGGTGCCTTGGACCAGCTGTTAAGCATTTTAGAATCGCATGCCACGTAATTCGTCAATACGTTGTTGCCTGTTTGGAAGCCTGTATTGCACCATGCTGCGGCGTTATGGGATTACTTTTCAGCCGAATAGCGATCTTTCAAGCAACAAAATCTTCAACAAGACAGCTTGTATAGATTTATTGTGAATTTTTTGTTTTTCCGATAAGATAACGAGACTCGAAAGAAAATTACGTGCGGATTTACTGTCTCTACGGGGAAAAATTAACCTATTTTTCAGCAAAGACTCATTGTAGATGCGACTTATTCGGCACAAACTATTTATATATTCATTTTTAATAAATGACTTTCATAATTAATGACGAAATTAACGAAAAAAAATCTGAACGATTAGTTCAAATGTTTGTTAACCCGTAACGAATTTTGGATTCTTTAAAAAAAGAAAAGAAAAAAAATTCCTATAATTTTATTTAAGCTTAGAACTTCTGCATATTTTCTATTTTAGATGTTCGATTGATGTCTACTTATATACAAAAAAAATTTTTACTGTTCGACTGTGAATATCGCGTTAGTTACATTATATACATTGTACATATTACATGTCGTAAAAAAAGAAATGTGTTTCATGTAAACATTTTATATCACGAATAAAATGAAATAAAATTTGTTATTTGACATGAAGATTTTAAAGCTATCAATACACGAAAATACTCTTATTTAATAATTTAAGTGATAAATTTAATCTTAGTGAAAGAACTTGCATTCAAATAGTATTTATAGCTTTGACCTGATTTATTTTGCTGCTATGTGATTATTTTTTTATTATGGATTTTCGAATTATAATTTGATATTTAAAAATTCTATACTTTCAATTCATCTGAGAAAACATTATTCTTAGAAAAACAACTATTTTAGGATGTTCTTTTGCATCTGTCAGTTCCATATAACATAGTATAAACGACTACACCCACTTCGCTTACAACCACACCTCCTAACAAATGACTAAATTACGATGACTGTTTTTCTGTCACGAAATACAAATTTTCTATCGATGAAACAATTTTACCGAGGAAAAAATAACTTAACACATTTTCTAATATGATTTTTATTATAGTTTATATCATTTTAAAAGCTTCTTCTGGGAAATGTTTTACTTATTTTCATTTTTAAAATCGTTTTGTTCGGTACTTTTTTTTTACCTGTAATTATACGGTGTTCGTATCCCTAAAAAGTATAATTTTTATATACGAAATCCATTTATTATTATTTCTTTTTAAATTAAATAAAAAAATAAATTACAGGATCCTAAAATAAAAGCTGTTTAAACGTTCCTTACTTTAAAACATTTTTTTTGTGTGTGTGCTTAAAAACAACTATATATTAGGGAACAATAGTATGATTTATTTGAATTTTTCATACATAATTCGTACATAAACTATTCCTCACTCATTATTTGTGAATAATTTTCTTTTAGAATATCTTTCCTGGTTATACTTTTCTCAATTTTATGGAAAAGAAAATGTATACTTTGCGTAAACGTGTTTTTATATGAATATTATCGCCAATAAGATGCATTATATATGTATATTATTGATTGTATACATTATACTTACACAGTAAAACCTGTCTAAAACGGCCTGAATAAAATGGAAATTTGCCAAAACAAAACGGTGCGATTCCGCTTTACACAGGTTTTACTGTATAATATATAGTCTACATATTGTTTTTTACGTACAGTACAAGCCTTATGTATTAGACATAATCTTATTCCCATATCTAACCTAAGTTTAGGCATACTAATTCTCCTTATATTTTATTTTGGAGTTTTTCCCCTCTGTGGGTACTAAAAAAGATTTTTCCCTACTCATCCTGGGTTCGATCATACAGCCGAGTGGTGAGGAAAAAGGCTCTAAATATCCTTTACAGATCAACCTTTTACTATTACTTTAAATTTCTTATTTTTAATAGAAAAATAACTAATTTACACTCAAAACTTTTAATAAACTCTCAGAAAAAAATTATATATTTAAACTATAGTAATGCGTTATATACCTTCTTGGGGCCCAAGAAAATTTGAATTAGGGGGGGACCCCCGTGTATGTAATGTACAGTCTTCGGGGAATTTTTTAGGGAAATTTTTTCTTATGAAGTATTGTTTTAGGACCCGCTGCTGGTGGGGTGGGGTACCAGGCAATTTCCCTTTTTACCCATAGGATAACACTCCACTGTCAGAATCTGATTTTTTAACTTAAAAAAATTTTATTTAAATTCAATTTTTAAGTAAAATTCTGTTTTAAAAGAAAATATCGATGTGTTCTTTTTTAAATTGAGTTTAATCATAGTAAGAAAAGAATACACGTAAAAGTAATTTATCAAATTTTATTGATGCTTATTCTTGTAATCAGCGATGGAATTTCTCCATTTGTTGGCTCCTAATAACACTCAAGAGAAAATTTAGTTTTTCTGCAACGCCCATTACTCTCACTATAATTATTTTCGGTTAGAGGAGCAATCATTAACGCATAAAAGATAAAAGAATTCCCATGTACCATGGTTAATATTATCGATTAACTACTACACTTAACAAAGAATAGTATTCTGATATGCATAAAATTAAATATACATTTTATTTAATTGGCATATATTTATAAATATTGTCTCAAAATATTATATAAAATTATTACATGCATATATATATATATTTTAAACATAACATTTAAAATTTTCTTGTATATATTGAATGTAAAGACATGTATCATAGCTTAGTGAAAACAATGAAAAACTGTCCTAAAAATATAAATTAATATAAATATATTAAATTATCTAATAAATAAAATATTTTTAATTACTTAAATGTAATTTACCTTTAATCAATTAACCACTTTTAACCTTCTCTTATTCTGTTTCTTCTATTTTTTAATGTTCTTTCAGGTCTTCTGGTTGTCTATTTATATTTTAAAAATA